ATCGTTATGCGGGGGTCCACTGTATTTGCTCTAGCTGGCACTCAATTGAACTGGTGTTCCCACAAGGTACTAAGTGGTCCCAAATTGTTTAATACTGTGCACACCGAGTTAAGACCCATTCTATACTGACCAAGCATCTCAGGCCAATGATGCCAAATTTGGAGGCAGGAAAAATAAAACATATCTACGTTTGGACCGCTAGCAGTACAAACATAGATCTACGTTTGGACAGTTTAAGGGTTAGAGATGCCAGAAACACACCTCTCTGGACAGATTTTTTTGTGCGACAGGGGTCCAGTGACACTCAAGCTGGATCTAGTGCCAGTAAAAGACAAAGAAGGGAAGTAACCCTGGACAAGACCTTGATACCTGAAGTCCCTATGGTGAGGGATTCCCTTACCAAACAATAACCTCTCCTCCTCCCTCTCCTGTCCTCGCCGTCTTCCATATGCCAACAAGAGTCTTCAATAAAGATAATAGTGATGCTAAATGTTCATTTATCCATTTCATTAGTCCTTTATATTTATTTCTCACTTTTCTGTATGCAAAACTAAGGTTATTCTCTATAAAATGCATTTTTTGTTAATACTTTTGGGTGTCCAGAACAGATTCATTAGATTTATATTATTTCTTATGGAAAATACTGCTGCAGTTTTCGTCGAATTCAGTTTTTGTCAGACTTTCTAAAACAAATGAATGATGAAAACCGAGGTTCCACTGTATATTACATGTGGGCGGGTTGGCCAGGAGGGCTACCATACCTACCACACCTGACTTCTTACAATAAATACTACAGGAGGCCCTCCACATTCACGAGGGTTAGGGGTTCAAGAACCTAGTGAATCTTGAAAATTCGCAAATGTTTGGTGTGCAAATATGATTGTGTGGCAATTATGATTTTTTTTTTTCAACAAGTCGGCCGTCTCCCACCGAGGCACGATGACCCAAGAAGAAAGAAAATCCCCACAAAGAAAATACTTTCATCATCATTCAACACTTTTACCTCACTCACACATAATCACTGTCTTTGCAGAGGCACCCAGATACAACAGTTTAGAAGCATATATAACATACCCCTCCAAGCTGCCAATATCCCAAACACCCTCCTTTTAAGTGCAGGCAGTGTACTTCCTACTTCCAGTACTCAAGTCCGGCTATATAAAAATAACCGGTTTCCCTGAATCCCTTCACTAAATATTACCCTGCTCACACTCCAACAACTCGTCAGGTCCCAAAAACCATTCATCTCCATTCACTCCTATCTAACTTGCTCACACATGCTTGCTGTAAGTCCAAGCCCGTTGCCCACAAAACCTCCTTTACCCCCACCCTCCAACCTTTTTGAGGACAACCCCTACTCCACCTTCCTTCCCTGACAGATTTATAAGCTCTCCAAGTCATTCTACTTTGACCAATTCTTTCTAAATGACCAAACCACCTCAACAACCCTTCTTCATCCCTCTGACTATTACTTTTAATAAGTCCACACCTCCTAATTTCCACACTCCAAATTCTCTGCATAATATTTACACCACACACTGCCCTTAGACAGGACATCACTGCATCCAGCCACCTTCTCACTGCAGCATTTGCAACCCAAGCTTCACACCCATATACGAGTGTTGGTACCACTATACTTTTGTACATTCCCTTCTTTGCCTCCATGAATAATGTTTTTTTGTCTCCACAGATACCTCAATGCAACATGGTGAGTGACGATCACCTCACACATTCATATGATACATTTCTTAATATATTTATTTGTTTTACTGCTTGGGCCCAAAGTAAGCTCCTAGTGCCAGCCCTTTGGTAAAGAAAGTGATAAACACAATTGAAGTAAGAAAGATCATAGAAAAATATAAAAATTGGAGTGTGTGTGGCAGGGCTCTCCAGGATGTACAGGAAGGCCCATTCAACCATCACTTCCATCGTGGCGAAGAAAAAGGAAATCAAGGAAGCCGATCTTGCCAAAGGGGTGAATATGCTAACGAAAAATATATAGCAAATAATTTAAGATGTTGAGAAGCTGTTGCTGGTGTGGATCAAACAAAGTGTTAGCAAAAGATAGTGTTGCGCAGTAGATAATTTGTGAAAAGGCAAGGCAGTTGCATGACGATCTCATAAAGAAAAGGCTTGGAATGAGTGCTGATGTAGGTGAATTCAAGGCCAGCAAAGACTGGTTCAAAAATTTCCAGAAGCGAAGTGGCATACACAATGTTGTAAGGCATAGTGAGGCTGCCAGTTCAGACAAACATGCGGTTGAAAAATTCATAAGTGAATTCAAGGACTATGTAGAGGCTGAAGGATTCATCCCCCCCCAACAAATGTTCATGAGGAAACAGGCCTCTTTTGGAACAAAATGCCAAAGAGGACCTACATCACACTGGAGGAAAAGGCACTGCCAGGATACAAGTCTATGAAAGACAGGCTAACTCTCATGTCGTGTGGTAATGCTAGTGGGGATTTCAAAGTGAAGCCCTTACTGGTGTATCACTCTGAAAATCGCAGTGTGTTCAAGAAAAACAGTGTCATGAAGGCTAATTTGTGTGCGATGTGCAAGGCTAACAGTAAGGCATGGGTCACGAGGGATATTTTCCTTGATTGGTTCAATGAAGTGTTTGGCCCCAGTGTGAAGAAATACCTCCAGGAAAATAAATTGGAACTCATGTGCCTCCTGGTAATGAACAATGCTCCTGCTCATCCTCCAGACTTGGATGAGCAAATGGTGAAGGAGTTTAATTTCATCACAGTGAAGTTCTTGCCCCCTAATACCACTCCTCTCCTCCAGCCCATGGACCAACAGATCATTTCAAACTTCAAAAAACTCAACACAGAAGCAATGTTTCAAAGGAGCTTTAACATAATCTTGGACTCTGAATTGACCCTAAGAGAGTTCTGGAAAGATCACTTCAATATCCTCCATTGCATAAACCTTATAGGTAAGGCTTGGCAGGGAGTGACTTCCAGGACGATGAACTCTGCTTGAAGAAAACTGTGGCCAGAATGTGTCCTCGACAAAGATTTTGAGGCTGACCCTGAGGACCCAATGCCAGTTATGAAATCTATTGTGGCATTGGGGAAGTCCATGGGGTTGGAGGTTAGTGGCAAGGATGTGGGAGTTGGTGGGGGACCACAATAAAGAGCTGCTAGACCTTAATCTGCAACAGCAACAGACCACAGCTCAGGAAATTGCTTCAGAGGAGGATGAGATTGGAAAGAAGTTGGTTTCTTCAGAGATTAAGATGTGTGCAATGTGGACTAGGATGGAAAAATTTGTGGAGGAACATCACCCTATCAAAGCTGTTGTAGGCTGTGTATGCGACATGTTCAATGACAATGTCTTGTCTCATTGCAGGCAAATTTTGAAGAAACGCCAGAAACAGACCTTTCTGTAACAATTTTTTGAGAGACAGGCATCCAGTGACTCAAGCTGGTCCTAGTTGCATTAAAAAACAAAGAAGGGAAGTTACCCCGGAAAAGGACTTGGTACCTGAAGTCTTTGCGCAAGGGGATTCCCCTTCCAAACAATAGTAACTCTTCCATCCTCTCCCCTCCTCCACACATCAACAACTCTTCAATAAAGGTAAGTGTGAAATTGATATTGCTTTATTCTTCATGTCTCATTGTTTTCTGTGTAGATAAATGTACATGTAAAAAAAAAAAAATTTTTAATACTTTTGGGTGGAACGGATTAATTTGATTTACATTATTTCTTATGGGGAAAATTATGAATTTTGAATTTCGGCGGATTCTCTGGAACAGATTAATCACGAAATTCAAGGGCCCACTGTACAAGTTATGGTTTAATAACAAATAATGAACAAACAAAACATTCACCACTCGTAAGGCTAGGCAGACAAACTCTGACGCCTTGTGATGATGATGACAATGACGATGGTGATAATAGTTAGCCATGCAGTTACTGATGACAGTTGAATAGAGGTGATTATACGGAGTGCAACTGCATGGAATGATGAGTCCAGTGTGTAGATTCTAACTCTTCATTGCCAGCATCTCTGCCAACATCACTAGATTCAGAGTTAGCAACGGAGTCAGATTCTGCCACGGGCTGAGGTTCAAGTTAGGCAGTAGGGATAGCGGCAGGGGTAGTGGCAGGCTTCCTTGTGAAGAATATTGTGATGAGCGACTGAGACCATTTCCTCTTCATATTTACAGAGTTTTGTAGGGAATTGTGCTCCTATCTATGTCACTCATCACCAAGGCCCTCAACACTAATGGGTCTATGTCATTAAAAAATTGTTTGAGCTGTACTGTCATTCTCATTGCTTGCCTTAGTATTTCAAGGGTGAGGGCTTGAGGTTGATTGGCCTCAGCAACTCTCCGCTTCTTCATCCTCACTCTCTGCCTGCACAATCTCCAACAATTCTTCCTCATTTAGGCCCAGTTCTCTCACTTCAACTGACGGGGTGCCAGTTGACAGGGTAAGAGGGAGGGTAGTAGGGATGTGGTGGGAAGCATTTTCCCATATTTTTTCCCGCATTTTTTGGTAAACGTGATTGGGAGGCTGGGCATTCGCGAATGTTCAAACCTCGCAAATGTGGAGGGCTAACTGTACTCACCGCTCACCCTACATTAAGACTACAAATATTTTGAGGTAAGTAATGAGTGCACTGTGTATTATATTTTTATTGTTTTTAATGCCTAGTTCTATTGCTAACTTAATATATGCTAGTGTAAACTTGTTATCTGGCATTTATATTCATTTTAAGTGGAAAAATGTTGTTCTGCTTTCCAGTGATGTCCGCTTTCTGGCAGTAACCTTACCTGCCGTATAGGTGGGGCCCTACTGTATATGAACATTTTCACTCTATGCACATGCCCTCCCTCCAATATATCCAGTCATTTATTACATAAACTTTATGTTACCCTCATCACTTTGCTCTTTCCTATGGAGAACACGATCTACAACAAAAAACACACACACAATACCAAATTCAAAAGAGAGGATAAGATTTTTTACAAAATGATTAGTGAAATACCTTTAAAGAAGCAGAAGAAATATCAACAGATAACTTCTTTGACAATGTATTGCCCCATTTCCTCTTCTTTGGCTTATCTGGATCTTCCTTTTCACGAGATTTTCCGCTTGATAAACTTACTGAAATCCAAAACATTATTTAGAGCAATTCAATGTAGAGTAATTAAATGTAAATGAAATATACTCTCTTGTTTTCACAATGTACATCAGAATTTCAAAGTCCTGTATCTGAGCATCAATTACTACATAATAACGAAAATCTATTACAGGCAATTGTCTCTTTAGGTTTCCATTATTTCTGCAGTTTCCTTAACACATGTTGCAAATGTATGGAATAGGTAGTACGTTACTAAAAGCTGTAAGGAGTTTTCAAGAGGATCGTGAGGCTCGGGTAAGGGTGTGAAGGAGAGAGAAGATTACTTCCGGGTAAAAGTAAGCCTTAGACAGGGATGTGTAATGCCACCATGGCTGCTTAACCTATTTATAGATGGGGTTGTGAAAGAAGTAAATGCTAGGGGTGTTGGGGAGAGGGGTGGGATTAAATTATGGAGAATCAAATATAAAATGGGAGTTGACACAGTTACTTTTTGCTGATGATACTGTGCTTTTGGGAAATTCTAAAGAAAAGTTACAAAAAACGTTATCCATGGAGGCAACACTTTCACCTCACTTACACATAATCACTGTTTTTTGCAGAGGTGCTCAGAATACAACAGTTTAGAAGCATATACATAAAAAGATACACAACATATCCCTCCAAACTGCCAATATCCCAACCCCCTCCTTTAAAGTGCAGGCATTGTACTTCCCATTTCCAGGACTCAAGTCCAGCTATATTAAAATAACCGCATTCCCTGAATCCCTTCGCTAAATATTACCCTGCTCACACTCCAACAATAAATAAATAACAAAAAGGCACAATACCGTGACTGGAACGATACACAAATAACCCGCACATAAAAGACAGAAGCTTACGACGACGTTTCGGTCCGACTTGGACCATTGACAAAGTCACACTGTGTGTAACACTCCAACAGTTCGTCAGGTCCCAAATACCATTCGTCTCCATTCACTCCTAACACACTCACGCACGCTTGAAGTCCAAGCCCCTCGCCCACAAAACCTACTTTACCCCCTCCCTCCAACCTTTTTGAGGAAGACCCCTACCCTGCCTTCCTTCCCCTACAGATTTATACGCTCTCCGTGTCATTCTACTTTGATCCATTCTCTCTCAATGACCAAACCACCTCAACAACCCCTCTTCAGCCCTCTGACTAATCCTTTTATTAACTCCACACCTTCTCCTAATTTCCACACTTCGAATTTTCTGCATAATATTTACACCAACACTATTACATGGGTAGGATGCATGGGTTGTAAATGCTGTAGCAAGGAGGCTGGAGGCAGTGGAGATGTCATGTCTAAGGGCACTGTGTGGTGTAAATATTGTGTAGAGAATTCGTAGTGTGGAAATTAGGAGGATGTGTGGAGTTACTAAAAGTATTAGTCAGAGGGCTGAAGAGGGTATGTTGAGGTGGTTTGGTCATTTAGACAGAATGGAAGAAAGCAGAATGACTTGGAGAGAGTATAAATCTGAAGGGGAAGGAAGGCGGGGTAGGGGTCGTCCTCGAAAAAAGGGAGGAGATAAAGGAGGTTTTGTGGGAGGGGGGCTTGGACTTCCAGCAAGCATGTGTGTGTGTGTGTTAGATAGGAGTGGAGACGACTAGTTTTTGGGGCTGGACGAGCTGCTGGAGTGTAAGCAGGGTAATATATCGTGTAGGGATTCAGAGAAACTGGTTAGCCAGACTTGAGTCCTGGAAATGGGAAGTACAATGCTTGCACTTTAAATGGGGAGTTTGAGATACTGGCAGTTTGGAGAAACATCTAAACTAAAAATGAGTGTTCCAAAGATGATCATTTCATATACGTATATTGCAGGCGACTAAAAAGATAAAAATGTGCTGAAGGCTTCATGGTTTGAAGTACATATTTGATCTACCTAAGACACTAAACAAAAAAAATGAAATGCTGTAAATGTTTTACAATTTTAACAAGAATGCATACCTTTTCTCACAGACTTGAAAGTAGAATAGTCAACTGTAATTTTAGTCTCTTTGTTCTCCTTTTCTTCCTCTTGTTGCTTATCAGAGCGAACACTCTCTCTCCTGCTGTCTAACCGTGACTTGTCTCGCCCAGGGCTGCCCATTCCAGAATTGGACCTCGGCATCTTAGCTTTTGGAGATCTGCAATAAAGTAACACAATAAGAATTATTTATTCATGTCTAGAGTACCTCCCAAGCCTTAGGAACATTTATAAGTGTCAAGATAACAAAAAAAAAAAAAAAAAAAATATATATACCATGACTAACACACAAATAACCCACACATAGAAGAGACCAAAACGTTGCTGTAAGCTTCTCTCTTCTATGTGCGGGCTATTTGTGAAGTGTCAAGATTTTCCACAAACACTCAAAGCAACATTACTTTACCTGGAACGAGAATGAGAATGGCGCGACTTTTTCCCACCACCATGGAAAAATATAGGCTTGTGTTTTAGTTTGTCTTGATCAGTATCTTTTAATTTCTCATGTTCTGGGGAATGAGAAGCATGCATCTTTCCTGGTGATTTCTTGCATTCAGATTCTAGCTTCTTGGCAAACCCAAACCTTTTCCTAGTGTGTCTAGACCTTGATCTTGATGAACTACTTGAACTAGAGGATGAAGATGAACGCATCTTCTTGTGTTTTCTGGGTGATGGTGACCTTGAAGAGTCACTGGATGACCTGAAGGCATGTTTAGCTTAAACATAACACTTAAAACACATACAGTATATAACAAGAACATACTTAATAGTTTTCTGATTTCCAGAAACAGTCTTTATTCAGTGGGATGTGTCAGAATAAAGTGCTTGGAAAGGGAAAGGGGATCAGTGAAGTTAAATGTGTGAAGCACCAGCTTTTTGATACTAAAACAAAATAGACTTGTTAGAAAATATATATGCAGCAGAGCCTATAAACTAAGTTTTACCAACAATGTATACACCAAATTTATTTAATCTAGCTAAGCAAGTGTAAAACAATGTTGATATATTTACAATTTTGCAACTTATTATTACATATTAAACTTTCAATGTAAATTCTGATTCTTAAGATAAAACCAAATGACCAGTAATGACAACTGTGGTGGATATAGAATTTTTTGAAGCTATGATAGCAACAATAATGGTCAATTCTGTAACCAAATCGAATGACCCAGTAGATTTTGTAATCTTCTAAACACCATATATAGGTCGATTATAATAAGAGTTTAGTGTATTCACCTTTTTAAATAACGATTAACAGATATCACATTGGAGGGAGAGAGTATGAAGGAAGAATGTTTCGTATGTCAGCAGCTTGAGGTATGAACAATGAGGTGAACCACAGATGTTAAGAGGTAGTGTTTTGAGGCATGTAACAAAAAAGACACTTGCCAATATTCAAATAGGGAGATACAGCATGTTGCAGGGAGGAGACTTGAGACACTGGAGATATCATGAATGAGATTTGCAAGGTGTAAATTTTATGCTAAAAATTAGTAGTAGAAACTAGAAGATTGCTGTGGAATAAAATGCATACCTCAGAGAGAAGAGTTTTTTTTTAGCTATGTTATCTGGAAATTTTGTTTTAACTCTTTCATTGTCCAGACAACCAAAATTAACATTACTTTGTGTCCACTTTTTTTTTATTTTCTTTTGAAATGGTAGGCAGAGAATCTTTTTCTGAGTGAGCTAAGCTCAAGACAAAGAACTACAAGAAGGGAGCCCTGGCCTCAATGCCGTAATTCTACATAACCACTGAACGGGGTAATGACGACATTTTTAAGAAAACTTATTAATGAGGAAATATGGAAAAAAACTGCATCTTGCTGATGAAACCAAGATTCACCTTGGAGAACTGAGAAGGGACCAACCCAAGAAACAAAAGCATGAACCCATTCACTGAAATGGTGCCGAAAATACACGATATTCTCGAATTTAATATTTTCTGCATTTTTATCAGTATCAATTTTTTCATCATGAAATGAAAATAACTTACTATTTCTCAATAAAACACAATAATTTTTGCACACAATATTCTACGTGCATTCTTTAACCCTTCGGGGGTCCAAGTCTTAGTTCTATGCCTTGTCCACAGGGTTCAAGAATTTTCAAAAAAAAAAAAAGTGTTATTTTTCTTATGAAATGGTAGAGAATCTTTTTCTGAAGGTAATAAAACAAAAAAAAGTACGAAATTTGATGGAAAACTGACGAAATTACACTATAGTGAATTTTACTGCCTCAGCGATATTTACGCATTGGTGATTTTTACCCATAGACTCCTATTTCAGGCCAATTACATTAACCCTTTGACTGTCGCAACCCCAAATCCTGAAGTGTCTCCTGGTGCCGAAATTTTTTTAAAAAAAAAAAAAAAAAAAAAAAAAAAAAAAAAAAAAAAATTCATTAAGGGATAGAGAACTTTTCCCTATGGTAAGGACCCAAAAATCCAAATCTGATCGAAAATTACGAAATTACGCTCCCCCCCGAAGTTAGCAATCTCGGGATATTTACTAAACAGCGATTTTGCCGATTTTGACCCCTATTTTTTGGGCCAATTCCTTTTTTCCCAAGTCGCCCAAAAATCTTTAGCTATTTTTTTTAAAAAACCTCCATTTTTTCAAAACCAAATTTGGTACATAAAAACCCCCCCCATTTACCGTTTTTCAACTACCCAACAGGTGGTAAAAAATTGGCAAGGGGGCCCAAAATTTCACAAAAATTTAAAAAAAATTGCCAATTTCAAAATAGGGCCCAAAAAAAAACAATGCAGACATTTTTTTGGCACAAAAAAACACATCCTCTTTTAATTAGTCACGTCTCCAGGCCCCTTTTTATTACTCCTTTCTTTTTTTGATCTTTTATTCACACAAAAAATAAAAGGGAATTTACTTTTAAAGCGGGACTAATAAAATTTAGTATTTAAAAAAGGTTAAATACGTAATATCAGTGCACTGGGAAAGAATATTAGTTTTCCCGTTGGTGTGTTTTTGGGAAATTTTTGGGGAGTGTTTTGCTTTCCCCTTGAACATTGGTAAAAATTGAACATTTCTCCCTTTTGGGCCCCTAAATTTCAAGGTCTTTTTTCATCGTGAAACAAACCCAAATCACTCCATTTCAAAACAAGTTTTCCATTCTATAAAAGGAACCAAGAAAAAAAAGAATACAACCAAAATTTCCCTTATAGGTAAATACCCCTCAAAGTCAGCGTTTTTAACCCAAAAACCCCCGGTCGGATTTTTTTCTCTCATTATGCCGCGTGCAAAACAGGTTTTTTTTATACATTTGCACACTACCATACAAAACCCATTCTCTCACTTGGGGCCTACCAGCTTTCCCCCTGCTTGATTTGAACCCACTAAAATTTTACTGAGTACAGGGGGCCCTGCTTTACGGCGTTCGCTTCAAAGGCATTCTGCTAATAGGGTTTCCTTTTAAAATTTTAAATGACCAAAACTCTCTAAAACGGCCCCCCCCCACCCAAATTTCCCTAATACTTCACCTCCCCCAACCCGGGTTTGTTTACTTTCCCTCTGGGGATCCGTAAGCACTAATTTCTCTAAATTAGTCTGGAAACCCCAAAATTTCAAATTTTTTTTAAAAGTTTTTTTAAAATATACTCTAAATTAATTTTTACTTATTAAAACCTGTCAAAATTTAAATTTAAACACACTGTGCGGGATGTAGGTACATAAAAAAATCATAAGATTTGTCTTATTCTCGAGACCCCATATTAGAAATGTATGATGATGATGATGATGATGATGATGATGAGAAAATTTAAAATAATTTTTTTTTTTTTTCAACAAGTGGGCCCCGTCTCCCCCCGAGGCAGGGTGCCCAAAAAAGAAAGAAAACCCCCCCAAAAAAGAAAATACTTTCATCATCATTCAACCTTTCACCACCCCCCCCACATTATCCTGATTTTGCAGAGGTGCTCAAATTTAAAACAGTTTGAAGCAAACACAATAAAGTTTCCCACAAAAATATCCCCCCAAACGGCCAAACCCCAAAACCCCCTCCTTTAAAGTGCGGGCACTTTTATTTCCCTTTTCCCCGGACCCAAGTCCGACTATATGAAAATAACCGGTTTCCCTGAATCCCTTCATTTTAAATATTCCCGGGTTTCACACTCCAACAGATCGTCAGGTCCCAAGTACCATTGGGCCCCAAACCCACCCCTTTACCCTTAAAAACCTCCCCACGCTTGCTGGAAGCCCCAAGCCCCTTGCCTAAAAAAACCCCCTTTTAAAACCCCCTCTCTCCAAAAAATTTCGAGGACACCCTACCCCCCCTTTCCCTTTTCCCCTATAAGATTTATATGTTTTTCCAAATGTCATTCTACTTTGTCCATTCTCTTCAAAATGCCCAAAACCCAACCTCAAAAAACCCCTCTTTTTGCCCTCTGACTAATATTTTTTTAAATTTCCACACCTTTCCAAATTTTCCCCCACCCCCCGAATTTTTTGCAAAATTTTACACCCCCCTTTTGCCCTTCAACAGGCATCCCCAAAGGGCCCCCAAACCCCGTCTCCCCCTCGCTACTCCCCTTTCCCCACCCAAGTTCACCCCCTTTAAGAGGTTGGTAAAAACTTTTTCTTTAATATTTTTCCCTTCTTTGCCTCCATAGATAAGGGTTTTTGACCCCCAAATATACCTCAAGCACCAACCACCTTTTTTCCCTCTTCAATTTCTATGATTAACCTCATCCTTCAAAAAATTCCATCCCCGACAGGGTCAACCCCCCAAGTATCTAAAACATTCCCCTTTTCCCCTTTATTTCCCCCTCCCAAAAATTTAAATACCCAAATTTTTTTCTTTATCTAAATCATTTGACCCCCCCTCATCACCACTTTTTTCTATTTTTACTTTCAACTTTCTACCTTTACACACTTTTCCCCAAACCCTCACCCACAAACCCTTTTTGCAATTTTTTTTAAAATTTCCCCAAAAGCACAGTATCTTCAGCAAAAATAACTGGGTAAATTTCCCTTTTTGAATTTTTTTCCCCCAAAATTTTTAACCCCCAACCCCTCCCCCCAACACCCTGGGCATTTACTTCCTTTACAACCCCATCTATAAATAATTAAACAACCCCGGGGGACATTACACATCCCCCCTCTAAGACCTACTTTTAACCCGGGGAAATAGTTCCCTCTCTTCTACACACCCTAACCTGACCCCAAATATCCTCATTAAAAAAATCTTTAAAGCATTTAATAACTTTTCCAATATTCCAAAATTTTCTTTCAACATCGCCACATTGCTCCCTATCCATCTATCATATCCTTTTTCTAAATCCAAAAATGCAATAAAAACTTCCCCATCTTTATTAAAAACCGTTCACCCTATATGCTTTCCCCCAAAGTAAACACTTTATCTACAAAATCCCCTTCCCCCCTCTGAAAACCCCCTTGCTCATCCGCAAAACCTACATTTTGTCTAACCCCTAATTCCCTTTTAATTATTTAAACCCCACCCCAACAATTTTCCCGGTATACTCAATAAGGCCTTTTTTTTTTCCTTTTATAATTTTTTTCAAATCTCTTTTGGGCCCCCCTTTTCCCCTTTTTTTTTTAAAGGGGCTAACATGTTTTCCGCCAATCCCCCAGGTAAACCCTTTCCCCCTTTCATAAAATTTTTTTTAAATTCGAAAGTTTCCCAACCCCTCCAACACTATATCCCCCCCGCTTTTAAAAAATTTCTGTCATGTTCCCCACAGTTCCACTGCTTTTTACCCCCCTTTTATTTTATTTTAAAGCCTCACGTCCCCCCCCCACACTTACATTCTGCTCTTCTTCACCCTTTTAAGATGGTATACCTCCCCGCCCCGGCATGAAATTTTCTGCCTTGTTTCTTTCCCTTAAAAATTTTAAAAGTTCCTCAAAATATTTTTTAGCCTTTTACCCAATTTCCCCCAACTCCCCATCTACTAACCCCCTACTTGTTTTTAAAATGACAAATCCAATTTTTTTCCCCAGGGTTTTTTAAATTGTTTAACTCACTCCAAAAAATTTTTTTTATTTTTATTAAAAATTTTCTTGGGCAGTGCCTCTTTCCCCCTTAACACCCGCTTTTCCTTTTTCACTTCCTCACCACCTCTTTACCTTTTCCCTTTTTCTCTCCATATACCTGCTCTTCTTTATAACACTTCTGCTTTGGGGAAAAAACCCCTTTAAAGCTACCTTTTTCCTTTTATAAAAACCCCTTTTCTTTTATCATTCCACCCCAAACACTTTCCCCTTTCCTCCTGCCCCCCCCCTCTTTTTAAACCAAAAAACCTTTCCCCGCCCCCACATTCTAAAATGCATTTTTAAAAAAATTTTCCAACCCCTCTTCAACCCCCCCACTAATCATCTTTGCACAAACCCACCTTTTTCTGCCCAAAAGTCGCTTATAAACTCACCCGAAAATTCCTCCTCCCTTAGTTTATACATTTCACCTCCCCCTTACTTGTTGTTGCCCCCTTCCTCTTTTCCCCCTCTACCCTTTCTCTAACTGTAGCTACAAAAAAAAAATGATTTCCGATATACCCGGGTTTCCCCCTATTAAAAATGTACATCCTTGGGGCCTACCCCAACCCCTTTTTTCCACCAAAACTAATTTTAAAAAAACTTTCATTACGGGGCTAAAATCATTTTTGTATATTTAAATTTTCCTCTTTTTTTTTAAAAAAATGTATACTTATTACCAAAATTTTTTTCACACGCCCCAATTAAAGGCTCCCCCCCTTTTCTTTTCCCCCGGAAAACCCCCCAAAAAAAACCCCCTACTCCCCCATAACATTTTTACCCACTTTAGGGGATTGAAATCCCCAAACCCCCATTACTCCCAAAACTTGATTCAAAACTCCCCAAAGGGAATCACCAACTTTCCCAGAATCTCCCCTCTTCCTTTTACACTATTTTCTTCTCCAGGTGCATACAAAGCTTTTTATAACCCCCCTTTTCCAAAATCCAATCTTTTTTTTAAATCCCATAATCCTTGAAATTAAAACATTTATAAATCCCTCTTTTTCCCGCCATAGCTTTCTTTAAAAATTATTGCTACTCCTTTTTTTTTTAGCTCTAACTTATTTTAAACCCCTGACCTAATTTCCCTTTAAAAACCTTTTCCCCCTGAAAATCTCCCACCCCCTTTAGCTTTGGGTTTTACTTTAAAACCGGACATCCAGCTTTTTCTCATTCAAACATCCACCCAAAACATCTCTTTTTATCCTCTGCCCCAAAACCACCACATTCAGACTTCCCACTTTGCAATTTTCTTCTTCTTATTTTTTTTTAGAAAACTTTACAGGAAAAGGGGTTCTAAAACCCCTTGTTCCCAGCATTTTAGTTTTACTTTTTTTCAACACGCATGGGGTTACCCGGGGGAAAAATTTTATTCCAATTCCCCCTGGATTTTAAAAGGAAAATTAATAAGACCAAGAACTATTAAGATAAAAATCAAAGAAAACTCAGATGAGTGTGTATAAATAAATGTGTACATGTATTATAGTGTGACCTAAGTGTAAGTAGAAGTAGCAAGACATGCCTGTAATCTTGCATATTTATGAGACAGACAAAAGACATCAGCAATCCTACCATCATGTAAAACACATAATAATAATAATAATCATCATCATCATCATCACCGAGTCTCATTAATGTCGTATATTATGTTAATATACATATTTTCATTAATCTATGATTTTTTCAAAATTATATAATAAATATGATACATAACATATAAAGATAATAAATACACTCCACAGTAGAATAAATAAACAAATACGAGATGTGGGAGCCAGATGCCTTGTACAATTGACGCCATATTAGTATTAATAATAATAATCACCGAATCTCATTAAATGTCGTATATTACGTTAATATACACATTTTCATTAATCCATCTATATTTTTTTTCAAAATTATATAATAAACACAATACCTAACATCATATTCACACCACACATTGCCCTCAGACATGAGATCTCCAATGTCTCCAGCCTTTTCCTTGTTGCAACGTTCACCACCCATACTTCACCCACCATATAAGAGCATTGGTATAACTATGCTCTCATACATTCCTCTCTGCTTCCATGCATAACGTTCTTTGTCTCCACAGACTCCTCAGTGCACTGCTCACCTTTTCCTCATCAATTCTATAATTCACCTCATCATTCATAGACATGTCTGCCTAAGAACGATGATAAACAGGAAAATCCAAAAAAATACAGTGGACCCCCGGTTAACGATATTTTTTCATTCCAGAAGTATGTTCAGGTGCCAGTACTGACTGAATTTGTTCCCATAAGGAATATTGTGAAGTAGATTAGTCCATTTCAGACCCCCAAACATACACGTACAAACGCACTTACATAAATACACTTACATAATTGGTTGCATTGGGAGGTGATCGTTATGCGGGGGTCCACTGTACTCCTATGCCATACTAGCAAACTAAAATAGCAATTATATATGTATATGGAAGGGAAAGTGCTCAAAAGTTATTCACAATGTATGCTAGATAAAAATCTTAACATGCAGCAGAGGTATGGTGTCTACATCTAAAAAACAAACATTTAGATAGTAATAGCACAAAAGCAAGATATGACACTTTCCAGTTAAAATAAAGTCACAAAGAAAATCAAAAAGCACTGGCTATATTATCCGTGGCTGGTAAGAGGAAGATGCAAAAACACTAGCAAAGAAAACGTCTTTCCCCCATCAACTGGCAGAACAAAAAGGCCAAACCTTTAAGAAAGAGCTGCCAAGAAGTTACCAGGAAGTTTTTCTTTGTAAACAGATTGGTAGAACAACAGAATGGTTTACACAAGTCAGTAAGTAGTACAATTACCGAGGCTTTTAAATTTTTTACATTAGTCTAAATACTGACGATGGAGAAGCATGAGCAAATAGGTAAATATAAATAGGTAATTACACATACATACCTGCTTTCAGAAGGGAACCTATCCTTCCTGCTCCTACCCTCACTCTTCTCAGATTTTTCTTCCAACATTGTCACTTCGTTCCTGTGTAAACGTGGACGAGAGGTTTTCTTGCCATCACCAGGGACTCTGTGTCCCCTAAAATCTCTTTTACCATCTATGCCCTTCTTCTTCTCATGTCTCTCTCTATCGCTACCAGAGTCTCTCCTGTTACTTGACCGTGAAGTATCCTGCTTAATCTTTTTTGGAGATGGTGACCGTGAGTCACTAGATGACCTGAAATTTTTTT